ACACAGTCTGCCATTAGGTAACCTCACTGGCCTTCAGCATCTATTTGTCCTTTAGAGTGTTTAACTGCTTTGTGGTTGAGATACAAGCCCCAGACAACCTTAGTTTCCAATGTACATTGTTAATTGGTGTCTCCACAAATTATATAAAGGATTTTGGTGGAATCAACTAAATATGTCAGGTTTGTTCATTTCAGGTTAATTCAATGTATAATGTTTTGTTTTTTCAAGACCACTTTAGAACTTACTAACATGAGTTATTGCAACTTGGGGTCATTAGATTTAAATCATGAGTTAAATTAATGCACTGTTGAGAGTTCACTCAGTTCGTTAAATTAAGCTTTTAAAGAAACAACACTAACAAACTTCCCAGCATGCATTGTTTGTTAAGTCAAAACTCTACAACAGAGAGTCTTCTTTTTGTGGTTTGAAAAAAACAGACATGAAAAAAACCTACTCCCTTACATTTATAATTAAATAAAGTCAGTGATGACAGCCTCGGATGATGTCTTTGTCCTGATTTTGGCACAAAATGGCTTCAGCAGCTGTAGTTATGGTTCTTCATGTGAAATAACAGTTCAACTTATGTTCGGTTAACGCAAACTATTAAGGCAACAGTGGAACTGTACATTTCTAAGCTCAACAAACTTATTATGATTTACAGTCCACCATGTCACATATTGGTGACACTTGATGGTTCACTCATTTCAATCACTTCAAAGCCCCGGTTGTCATATCCATCTCTGGAGTGGTGATGATGACCGCTGATGTTATAGAAACAGCTGGCACAGTGTGCAGTGGACACAGGCACAACCTTGGAGAAGTTGGTAAAATCTACTTTGTACTTGCCTTCCTTGCTTTTGGCGATGATGGGCAAGAAATCATAGCCCCACATGATCTCCCGAGGAGTAAAAGAGGTACGCACTTGGCAGGATGAACTGGTGGATTCAGCTGTACTGTCTAGGAAGACGACCAGCTCAAACTCTTGATTCTGGAGTGTGTCCACTGCCATCTCAAAAAAAGGGCTGCTCTTGTTGATGACGTGGTAGATTGTAAGAGGACATATGAAGAAGAGGTTGTCTTTCCCAGACTCCACCATGAAGTCAATGTTCACTTGGTCTATGATGATTGCCTCCCCATCTGGTGCATTTGTCATTCTCAGCAGCTTGCCATAGATCTGGCTTCCTACCATCAGGGACTTGCGCAGGTTGGCCACTCTCACTGACAGGCAAAGAGAACCATTTTTGGGACTGATGACAGCCATCTTGCTAAATTTGATGGTCTTTCCCCTGCGTTTAGGTAAAGAGATTTTGGCAATGATGACTCCAGTTAGGAAGCTGTGGAGAAGAAATCCAAAGGGTACCTGAATGATCATAAGGGTCACAGCACCTGGGCAGTAAGGGTTGGGTGCCCGCAGACCATACCCAAGAGATGTCTGGGTTTCAAGGGAAAAGAGGAATGCTGAAGTGAGTCCGAAAACATTGACCACACATGGGATGTGGTCTGCTGGGGGGTTTTGCCATACAAGGTCTCCATTGGTGTGAGCAACCCAGTACCACAGCAAGGCAAAGAAAAACCAGCTGAGGGTGAAAGAGGCGAAGACGGTTAACAGAACAACACGCCACTGGCTTTCTGTAACTGTGGTCCAGAAGTCAGCCATGAAGGCAAAGTGTTTGCTGTACTTGATGTTTCCATATTCAGTGTTGCAGTTACCCCCTTTGGACACTAGTCTGGTCTCGTGGTTTCCTCGCCCTCCCAAGCAGTCCTGGATTTTCCTCTTCAAAAATCCACACATGATCTACAAGTGTGAGACCTACAGGACAATAACACAGAAAGAAAACATATAGATAGCATACAAGTACATAGAAAACCAGTCAACAAGCAGTCCACTTTCTGGATGAAACAATCCCCAGTTGTGGTGATGAACATGGAAATGGGTATTACAAAATCAACATGATACACTGCTTATGAAAAGCAATAACAATCTGTTCATACAGTAGCTGATTTGACATTTGACCTGGAGCCCCAGTGCTTTGGCAGCCCCACTGACAGCAACAGCAAAATATCTTTATAAATATGAGCAACAAAGATTTGTGAGAAAACAAATTTGAGTCAACAAATGCTGATAATAAATATCCTTGCATCACAGTCCCCATCATTTAACCAGCAGGCAACCACAGGCCCTCTCAAACCGTCAACCACTACATATTGCAACTCACTACGGCCAAACAGTAAAATGACAAGATGACACTGCATGCA